CAGCACAGCTGGTTCTGCCCCAGGGATCCCCTGACACCAGGGCAAAGGCAGGTCACCATGGATCGCCCCACTTGTCACCCCTGTGAACCAGCTGCTGTAAGCAGGGTCCAGCTCATGGGCAGTGTGTGAAGTTACTCCCCATCCCCTGCCAAGCCTCTTGCCTTGGGGCTAAGCAAGCACAATTTGCCACATCCCTGCTTAGATATCCCTTAGATCAACCAGGTCATCCCAAGGGCACATTTAGCTCCCCCTGGCCCCAGGCCTTAAGGAACAGATCTACAGCCTCCCTCCTTCTTGCCCCAGCCAGTCAGATGCTGTGCAATCATCTTGCTGCATGGGACATGGGCACCAGGACTGGTGTCCAGCATGGCAGATTTCCCACTCACCCTCCCCAGAGCCCTCTCCTATTGCTCACTGCAGCCCTCTGGCTCTGGCACCCTGTTGTTATCTGGCCTCTGTGATCCAGCCCCATCAGACTGTCCCCACACTCCAGACCTACACCCACAGGGTGCTTATGTCCATGCCTCTCACCTTCTGCCGTCCAGTTTTGTACTTTCCCCCCACGACTCCCTGTGTTTATAGCCTGCCCTTCTGGGTCCAGTTCAGCTCCCCTCCTTCACAGCTTGCTTCTCCCATGTCATGCCAAATGTGCTTAGACTCAGCCCATGTGCCCCCACCTCCTCCTTCCTGCTTGGGATGCCTGGCAATGCCTGATGCTTCTCTGCTATTTTGGCAGGGTGAGCTCCAGGCTGGGATGGCATGGGCCAGTGCAGCCTGTGACTGACAGGCAGGCTCAGACCTGACAAAATGTGCTGTGCCCTCCTCAGTGTGTGTATCAGGGAGACCGGTGCAGGTAGAGAGGAGTTCACAGCCTACATTCTCCACCCGTGCCCCAAAGCCATCTCCTTGCCAGGTGTCCCTGCCTCTTCACATTGTAGCTTTGGCCAGCACTCTTGTTAAAGGGCTCGCACAGTGTGAATTGCACGGCATCACTGCAGTGGGCTAGACAATTCTGTTGCATGTCCCCTCCTCCCTTTCCTGTGCCACAGAGGCCATGATGCATTGGGCAGGGGTTGGGCAAGGGGGATCTGCACCAGGGGTCAGAATCAGGAAAGGGCAGAGTAAGGGAGTCAGAGAGGCCAGGACAGGGGGTATAAGCAGGGTGGTTTGCCTACAGAAGTGCAGGGTTGTAGTTTACAGTGTGATTCACTGATTAGAGTAGAGCCCTGGGAGCAAGGACTCCTGGTTTCTGCTCAGACTGGCTATGTGCCCTGGGCCAACTCATTGCCCCGTGTCCTTCTCTGGAAAATTAGATCCCCAAGCCCTGCAGTAGAGCAGATTGTGAGGCCAAATTCATTATTTAGGAAGCTTTTAGACCCTCAAGGTGCTGCATCTAGGGAGAAGGAACCTGCAACATACCTATAGGCTGGGGAACACCCTTCTCAACAACACAGTGGCTGAAAGGGATCTTGGAGTCATTGTTGACTCCAGGATGGACATGAGCTGCCAATGCGAGGAAGTAGTCAATAAGGCTAACTGCACCTTGTCATGCATCTACAGATGCATCACAAGCAGGTCCAGGGAGGTGATCCTTCCCCTCTATGCAGCACTAGTCAGGCCGCAGTTGGAATACTGCATCCAGTTCTGGGCGCTGCGCTTCAAGGGGTATGTGGCTAACCTTGAGAGGGTCCAGAGGAGGGCCACTCACATGGTCAGGGGGCGGCAGGCCAGGCCCTATGAAGATAGACTAAAGGGCCTGAATCTATTCAGCCTCCACAAGAGAAGACTGAGAGGGGATCTGGTGGCCATCTATAAACTCATCAGGGGGGACCAGCAGAAAACAGGTGAGGCTCTGTTTCCCGGGCACCACCTGGGATAACAAGGAATAATGGCCACAAATTGATTGAGAGCAGGTTCAGGCTTGATATCTGGAGGCATTACTTTATGGTTAGGGCTGCCAGGCTCTGGAATGGGCTCCCAAGGGAGGTGGTGCTCTCCCCTACCTTGGGGGTCTTCAAGAGGAGGTTGGATAGATATCTGGCTAGGGTATTATGATCCCAGCACTTGTTCCTGCCCAGGGCAGGGGGTCGGACTTGATAATCTATCTATTCAGGTCCCTTCCAACCCTAGAAACTATGAAATAATTTGGGCAGTGCTGGAGTACTGCCATGCCTGCTAACAGTCAGGTCCCTGTACCACAAGTTGCATTGCACTGAGAGTGGTGTAGATAGAAATGGGATCCTCTGGCCCCTGCCAGGGTGAGCTGATGATGCATATAAAGGCAAGAGGCAACAAGCAAGCATAGCAAACAGGGGAGGGGAAATGTGGGGAGAGCTGCCTGTCCTAGAGCCAAGCTCTCTGCACAGGCCGATGGCTCAAGCACAGACCAGTCCATGAGACTGCCAGGAACAGCAAGCAGGCCCAGGCCTTACTGGACAGCTGCTCTGCTGAGGAATTTATCTTCCCTGGTAGCTGCTGGCACTGTGGGTTGGAGTGGCCATCCTGTTCCACAGCCGGGGTTGTCACAGAGTGGCTCTCAGCAGAGCGTGAACCATGGTGTGACAGATACCGTCCGGGCCCAAACAGCATGTAGTTCCCCTCGGCTGGCAGGGAGCAGGCCAGGGAGCCAGCTGCACCTGGTGAGGGGACCAGATCCTGTGCTGAGCCCGAGTACCCTCTGCTCAAAGGCAGCCAGCCCACGGCGCCAAGTAAGGGAAATTTCTCACACACAGTCACTTCCCTTGCGACACTTTCAGCTCCTTCTGCTTCCTCAGATGTGCAACGTAAAGAACCGACTCACTTCCTCAATACAGCACAGTGTCAGCTGATCAAACAGCGGTTCCCTGGGGACAGTTGTCTGCTGAGAACGGATGCCAATGCCGGGAGTCAGCACCATATGGTAAAGTCCTGGGATGGCATTTGGAGCCCCTCCTTCCCTTGGGGGGTGTCTAACCTGACAGTCCCATGGGGAGGCTTCTTCCTTCTTTGGCCTGGAGCGTTTTGTCTTCTAGGCAGCAGGGAGAGGAAAGGGGCTGAGAGCTGCTTCTCAACACAAAACTATACTTCAGCTGACTCACCCAAGGTACAGGAAGAGTGGCTGAGGTGTCTTAGTGGCTCCACAGGCTTGAGTTTGAGCCCTGCTCTGGCCCTAGGCAAAAAGCCACCCCCAGTTGACCCAAAGGTAAATAGGTTCCTGGTCATTGAGACTGGGGAGTCAAGGTGGGGCCAGATGTGATGCTACCCACATCACTGCCCGCTGTACCATTGGCTTCACAGGACCTGGCGTGCTTTCATGATGTTAATCCAATGAGCTGCTAGGCCAGGGAGGACCTTTGACGCCAAGGTCACACAGCCTGGGAACAAAACCCAGGGAGCCTGTCTGACTCCCTGTTATGTGCTCTAATCATTGCAGGTGATGCTTCCTCACAGAGCAGGCAGTAGAGCCCAGGAGTCCTGACCTTCAGCCCTGCCAAGCCAGCTTTCCTCTTTGGGAGCAATCATTAAAAAAGCTCTAGGAGCTGACCGGGGGGAGACGTCTAGCCCCAGGAGCTGTGATTCTAGTATGCATTTGCTTCTTTCCTCAGCAGAAAGATTCACTGGTTTAACTCATCTCTGTAAGGGACCCAGTATTAGAATGAAAATCTCATGCTGACTTCTGTGTGCACTCTCTGACCTGCAGACACCACAAATGCCGTACCTTGAGGGTCATGCAAAGTGAAAGGCTGCCATACCTCTTCAAACAGCCTTACCTTCCAAACCTTCTGTTTTCAGACCTCACTGGCCATGCCCACAACCCCAGACTGCCCCACTCAATGCTCAGGCCCAGTATCCCCTGCCCCCTCCATTTCCCCCAGCACTTGGCTTCATGAGCCAGTGAAGAAGCAGAACCAAACAGACCCAACCTCTGAACTGCTCTTGCTCCTTGCGATCCTTGCTTCAGGAATCTTGCCTGGGTCACTTCCCAGGGGACTGAAGCAGGGTCCAAAGGGGTTAGCTTCCATGCTTGGCAGGGGACAGGTCCCTGCTGCTGCCTCGCCATGTCCCCTGGAGGGATTAGCACTGTGCACAACACTTGTGCGCCCTCCCACCCCAGCACATAGCATTCTTGTGCTCTCAGCTCTATACATTAAGCCATCAAGGCATGTAAATCTATAAACCCCCTAATCCATTTCCCATGTTCCTCGTGTGCTAGTCTGATCCTCAGTTGAGGAACAGCACAGGATGACTCCTGCTTTCACTGCACTGTGGGGCTCCCTGATTTCTCTCTCCAGCTGTTGCAAGGAGGAAACCCACTGCCTGTTGCAGTACCTGGACGGAGCCCTGAATGCCTTCCTTTTCCACCACCCGAGGAAAGCATTGGTTGAGCCATGGGTGTGCAGGTTAGCAGGGAGGCTGCTCTCCTGGCATCTCTGCAGCTCAGAACTCGGATTGGTGTAACCTTGCAGAAAAGGAGCTAGTATTGCAGCCAACCTGCAGCTGCCTGGGATTTTACAGTTGTCCCTGATCTGCTCCTCATGGCTGCTCGGGGCTTCACAGCAGCACAAGACTGGAGCATGTGAATCCCCATCCTCCAGCAGTGGGGGAGAAGTGCCTTTAGCTGCTTGCAGTACACAGCTTGTGGCAGCCAGCTGAGGGTCAGATCAAGTCAAAGGTGCCCCTAAGGCCAGCCTGAATGAACAGGTCATTGCTATATTTGAAATGCTCTCCCCTTCTTTCCACTCTTTCTGCTGTGCTTTGCCCCCATCCTCAGCCCCATTAATTGTCACATGCAGAGAGCACAGCTGCTAGTGGGAATCAAACCCCTTGACTCCTCAAGCAACACAAGCAAAAGGAGCCACACACTAGCTAGCAATAAATAATAGGCTGTTACAATCACTCAGTCCAACCTCCAGGGAAGGTACATACCTTCACACATACTAAAGGCACATCCAACATCGGCATCTTACATTGTAATCCCTGCTAGTGTTGTGGCAGGGGGCTGTTCTGTGGCCCATCACCCTGTCTATGGTGATGGACTGCCTGTTTCAGCTCTCCTCAGGAGGCAGCAGGAGACTCCTAGGGTAGTACAGAGACAGGCAGTGCAAAGCTGTCCCTCACTAGGTCTTCCTCAGGGTCTCCAGAGGCCCTGTTATTGGTTTGATAAGAGTACTGGGCCATTTCTTCCTCTGCAATTTAGCACCTGGTACAAGTGCCCAGTGGCTTATCAATTCATGCTCTTTGCTCAGCCATTGAAGGAATAAGTATTTCCCCCAATAAAGCCCGGCTTCCCAGGATGCCTGCGCTGGAGAATCTGCTTGCTCTTAACTCATGGTCCTCCAGCATGTTAATCCAGAACTTTTTTTTAATTAAAATAGCTCTCTCTCTCTCTCTCTCTCTCTCTCTATATATATATATATATAGGGGGGTGTGTGTGTGTGTGTATATATATATATATATATATATATACATTGCACCTTTTCTTTTTAAAACCACCTTAAGAAACCTGGGCACCTGTTACAATAACTGCACCCACTCCCCTGCGCCCCTGCGCACCCACCCTCTGCCCTTCCCTAACCCAAACACAGTCCCTTAGTCCAACCAATTTGGGGTTTCCCATCTCAGTTAATTCACAGTCCTTGTTGCTGTCACTTCTACTGCCGCTGATCCTGTTGTCCTCCTCACTGTCTTCAGGTCCAGACCTGGCTATTTGTGAAGGTTCGGAGTGGTCATGGGACAGTCTGTGAAAAATACCCACTGACCTAGGGAGCACTCTGGTTAGATCAAGTGAGCAAAATATGCAGGATTTTCTGGCCTGGACCTGTGGTCCCTAGTATATAGGGAGATACCCACCACAGTCCCCTTAACCATGTGCCCCAACCTTGCTTTCATGAACTACCTTGCCTCAGGCAGGAGAAAGGCCCAGGGGTATAACTTCAGTGTGTAAGGGCCCTGGCCCTGGTGTTTCTCACTGCGAGGACAGAGCTGTCACTGTTTGCTAGGCAACTGAGTGCATGCAGGCTGTTATGAGGGCTAAGCCCAGCTGGGCTAAGTCACAACCACAGCTCACAATCTGCAAAGTCAGCATTTGGCAGCTTGGTAACAAAGGAGCGAAATGCTGCTAGGGAGGGAGAGTGCCTCCTCCCTAGGGGCCCCACAGCAAAGTCTGGGAGAGTCTTGCAATAAAAGCAGCGCTGCGCACAGAATGTTTCCTTCTTACTGGGAACTGCGATAAGGCCATTTCTAGCCTTGGCCCAGAAGGAGTGGTTGGCAGTGCCTTACAACTGCATGTCATCTGGGTGTACCTTAACTCCACGCAAAATCTGGTGCCAACCACGGAGAGGTTTATCTCACCTGGTGCACCTGACTGGTGCCCCACAATGTACAGTACCTTCCTCAGGGTTTCTGGGTGCAGTTGAGTGTGCTGGCATTGGCCTGTAAAGCCCCAGAGGACCTCCTACCTTGCCAGACTGCCTTGCTCCCCATGCCATGCTTCTGTTATTGAATTAAGTGGAGGTGCCCAATGTAAAATAGGAAGGACAGCTGGCAGGGCATGTCCATGAGGCCCCACGGGCTTACAAACACCCTGTGACTCCAAATAGCCCTTCTTTAGAGCTCTAGAACTCACTGCAAGGCTTGTCTTTGCTGGGGAGGAGCTGGGTGGAGGGGGAAGTGGGGAAGATTTGAGTGATCCTTAAAATAAAAATGGGTTTACTTCAGGGTTTGTTCAGTAATTATTAGGGCATGAGTTCACCCTGCCCTGCCTGTACTATGTTACCATTATATAACACCGTAAGATGAGTGCTTAGGAGCACATGAATACATGCCTGGGAGGTGTGGCAAGTATATCAGAAATCGCTTGGAAAAGCCTGTATCTTGGGGAGCACAAACCTGGTGGGGAATGTTCCCAACTTTTGAGAAGTGGTAAGTAAGAGCTAAATGTCATGAGTTCAACCTGCCCTGCCTGTACTATGTTACCATTATATAACACCGTAAGATGAGTGCTTAGGAGCACATGAATACATGCCTGGGAGGTGTGGCAAGTATATCAGAAATCGCTTGGAAAAGCCTGTATCTTGGGGAGCACAAACCTGGTGGGGAATGTTCCCAACTTTTGAGAAGTGGTAAGTAAGAGCTAAACAACCTCTTAGGTCTTAAGAGAGACTGCATCTACTGAAATGTGATGCAGCTGAACTGCAGTCCCCAAACATGGGTTAAGTATTGGCTTCACCAGCTCAGATAAGATGGAAATGTTCACAGAAGACAAGTGTTCAGGCCAGCTTGGGAGCTCAGAGAAGTTCTCCAAGCTACTGTTTCAGGCAGTGTGCAAACTCAGGCAGACAGCATTGTACAAATTACACTCGGTCTGTGTCTGGAACATTTTTCTCACAACTGCTGGGGCTAGACACTTGATCTCTTTCAAATGATGAGTCTGCAGCAAGAGGTAAGCTCTCCACAGCCTCCGGGGCTGCAGCACCAATAGCAAGTGGTTACAGCTTTAGAGCAATTGTTTTTCAGTGTTGGCTGACTTGCTCCGTTGATGTAGCAGGCAGGACCCTATGCCTCAGCAGCAAATAGGTGTGGGTATAAGAGCTCCACTCGCTGCCACCACCCCCTTGGAACTAGCTCTGCATGTGGTACAAGAGCGGACAAGGTATTCCCAGCAGTGAGGCAGACAAGCGAGACCTAAAGCTGATGGGTTGAAATGTGAGAACCTATTGTTTCAAAAGCAGGCAGCCCAGGGAATGGGCTTCATGGGAACCCAAGAACTCAGCCCAGCTCCCCTCCCCCAGGTATTCTCCATGCCAGCATTTAGGGTGGCAAAGCTTGGGCTGGGATGCACTGAGGTGATGCCAGCCCCAAACCTTGGCACGCTGAGTGGGGCAACTAGTGGGGGGTGCCAGCCTTTTTCTCAGGGTAGGGATTCAGCTGCTGGGACTAGGGAGTTGAGGGCCACATCAGTGAAGTGTATCCTTGCCATTGTGGGAGGCAGTGAGGGTTTCCCCTCCTACCCTCAAAGCCTGGGGGGTGGGGTGCAAGGTAGGGAAGAGCATGGAGTCAGGTTTTAAATGAACAGCCACCAGCTGGAAGGGCTCACTTTTAAATGGCAGCATAAAATGAGGTGCATAAATCAGCAAGGAGAGAGCTCTGATGCATGGTTTTCAGTGGCACCAACCCCCACCAGTGCCCCATGGGACCTGCAAGATCAGGCCTGTGCTGTAGGTTCTTAAATGCCATCCCGTGGGTGATGTTGACTGGGCCTGCAGCCCTGGGGTGTGGAGAGCTGTCTTGGACTGCCAGGAATGGGAGAAGGAGTCCTGAAAAACCAGGGAGATGCTAGAGAGGCCCCTCAGGGCTGCAGGGAGTTGCCCTGGAGGCTCTGTGTAAGGTAGGTGCCATTATGGCTCCCTTCCCTTCAGCAGCCTTTTTCTCTCCAGGCCATCCATCTCCCCCTCCCTGTGTTTATGAGCGTGGCTGGGCTCCAGCAGACGCTCTCTATAAAGAGCTCTGCTCCTTCTCAGTGCACAGACTTTGGCAGCCAAGGCGCTGGCACTGATGAGCACAGGCTTAATGGACTGGGTGACCTTGGAGGTACGTGCTGCTCTTGCCACCACCCCACTGCACTTGCTGAGCAGGTCTGTCATCTCCCAGCTCTGCCAGCGCCCTGGGGGCAGCAGGTGGCTGCCAGGAGCTGGGTTTCCATGGAGCACCCTTAGGGCCTGGGATACAGGGTGCCCTGGGTTTCCCTGGTCCTGATTGAGCTGCCTGGCAGGGCACTACAGGTGGGCTGGCCAGGCTAGGAGCTTGGCTCTGGGTTTTCTGTGCCCGTGGGGTTGGGACTTTAAGTCCAGTGACTTGTTCCCTCTGCAGCTGTTGACCAGGGATGCCCTTCACAGCCTCCCATGGGCTCCATGGTGAACTGGAGCCACAATACAAACATGGGCACAGCATTGGATGTAACAAGTTGGCAGAAGTCTCAGTTTGGCCATGCCCAGGGGCACAAAGGTGCCTTGAGGTTTTGTTCCCCTGCTGTATGCATGTAATGCTTGGGAGCCAGCTGTGGGCAGTGGAGGTAGGGAGAGCTTTCACACCCTCACCTCAGCCCCAGCCCTGCAGCCCCATGTCACTCAGTAACCAGCCACTTGGTGACCTGGAGGGGTAATTGGTGTCATTAGCCAGTTAATTATTGTAAGAGAGCACAAAGGTGCAGTCAGTGTTGGCAAGGGAGAGGCAGGGTTGAAAGTGGGCAAGGGAATGTACAGGGTGGGGGTGTACAGCTAAGGGTGAGCTAGAGAAGGGGTGCTGGGGTGGGGTGAGAGGTTTGAGTGAGGATGCTTGTGGGTGTGGGGAGGGACGGAGGCTGGGAGCATTGGATCCAAAAGTGGCCTGTCTAGGAGAGGATGCCATAGACACCATCTGTGACAGAGGCAACTCTTCCAGGAATCTGCAAATGGAGTGGAGGGAAACACCCCTGCAGGAAGCTGTCCATGCAGGAAGCTGAGAGCCCATGTCTTTGATCCATAGATGGGACCCCTTGAGTCTTAATGACTGGTGGAAGGGGGCCTGGCCTGGAGCACTGTGCCTCCAATAGTCTCAGCATTGAGGCTCCCTGCCCCTCAAAGCCTTTCACTCCCTTCAACCTGCAGCTGCATCAGATTCCCCTGGAAATTGTAGAGAAAACTGAGGCTCATTTAAGCTGGCTTCAAGCTAGCCACCTGAGCCAGGCACATGCCACACAGCTATGGGTGGGAACTGGTCTGAGCAGCCCTGAGGGCCCTCCTCACAGGGCTGCACACTGACTTACAGACCATGTGAATTTGCTTCTGCTTGCTGAGCTGGAAAGGCAGAGCCCCCAGCCCATGCAGCACCTCCCTCCCAGTCCACCACGGACGGCAACCAGCTCCCATAGGGATGGCTGGGATCCCACGGGGCCTCAACCAGAGGAGCATTGGTGCCAGAGGGAAGGCACCAGCAGCTCCTGCCCAGGCAGGGGAGGGAGTCAGCAGCTGTCAGTCTGCCCACACCCAGCGCTGAGATATCTGATGACTCCCTCACTGGGCTGAAGCCTGGGGGTGACCACTTTCCTGGCACCCCTCTGCAACTCCATCACCTTCATCAAGGCCTTAAAGGCACAACAGGCTGCCTCCTCTGTGCCAAGGGCTGCACACTGAGTGCTCTCTGCCCCCAGGCGGATGCCTGGCACAGTTTGCTCCCCTGTCTCTGCCCTTGGGGACATAACAGAAGCCCTGCCTTTTGGAAGGGAGGGCTATCTTTGTATGCACAGGCAGTTTCTGCTGTTCCCCAGCAGAGGACAGTCATCACATGCTCTGGCCTT